AAAAAACAAATCTGGTCAAATCTGGTGAAATCTGGTGAAATCATGTTTTGACCAGATTTGACCAGATTTTGACCAGATTTGACCAGATTTGACCAGATTTGACCAGATTGGAAAAAATGAAAAAACATTTGAACAATTTGGAAAATATTGTACCAATTTGATTTGGGAAATTTCATTGTGGTGATTCACCTTTTTTTCAAAGGTTATAACTTTAAGAAACACATTGCACAACATGTTATTCTACCAAAATCTTTCACATTATGGATTTGTTACTGTTGGGTTATCTTTTGGAACCACAATTGCAAACCATGTTCACCAGGAAGAACAAAATATTTCCACTTTGAACCTTTTGGGAACCCCACACATCTTTCATTTGTCTTGGTAATATTCTAGATAAATTCATTTGGTGGATATCACCCAAAAATATTTGGTAATACATCCCCTAAAAAGTTATTTGGTGGATATCACCCTAAAACATTTGAGGTGGCCCCCATGCCTCTGCCCACCCAAGCCCAGCACCTCTTTTGCATGGCCACCTGGTGATGTACACCAGTGGTCTTTCAGCAGGTCTGCACTCAAGGGAGGCAACCACCTTTTTTCCAAAGGCTCCCTCTTTTTGAGGGGGTTGCCTTGCCCAAGAGAAAAGCAGCATCTTTTTTACAAAGAATTCCTGCTGATTTTAAAAACTCCTCTGCAAGCCTTTTTTCCAAAGGCTGCCACATTCCTGCTTTGGCCACCTTCAGATTTTTTTTTCCAATTGCTGCCTTTTTTGCAAAGGCTGTTGGTTTGCTTTGCTTTCATGCTGCCTTTTTTCCAAAGGCTATAGCTGTTGGCATTCTTCTCAAAGCTCTACCAAATCTGCCACAGCTGCCACAAAATCAGGGTACACTTGGATCCCCTGCTTTTTGGCCCACTGGTGCCTCTCCCAATAAGTGCTAATGGGGACCACCTTCAGTCCTTTTTCCAAGGACTCCCTCAGAATCTCTGGAGTGTCATCCAGCACATGGGTGCATTTGAAGTGCAAGGCCCATTCTGCCTTGCCCCAGCACCCTGTTCTCTCAGTCACTATCTTCATGCCTGCCCATTTGATGGGCAAGCTTTTGGCCCACTGCAGCACTTCCTGCCCCCTTTCCCTGCCAGCAAAGCTGAGGAGGAAGATCTCCCATCCATCTGCTTGGAGATCCCAGTAGGCCCTGATGTGGCTGTTGGGCACCACATCCTCCCCCTTTTCCCTGATCTGGAAGCAGTTGTGCCAGTCCAGGGCCAGCCTTTTTTTCAAAGGCTTTGGTGGTGGTGGAGTTGGTGGCTGCCTTTCTGGCAGCCCCTCCCTCTCTGGCTGGGCTGGGGTGCCCCTCAGCCTTGAAGGCTTTGGTGGTGTGGGTGGCTGTGCCAGGCTGCTGCTGCTGGAGCTGGTGCCCAGGCTGACATATTGCTGCCTGCCATCCAGCTTTCCCTTCTTTTTTGGCTGGTTCTGCCCTTTTTGCAAGGGCCCACCCTTCACCACCACCTCCAGGTAGCTTGCTGGCTCTTTTTGCTGCTCTCTTGCTTCTTTTTTTTCTTGCTGCTTCTTTCTTTTTGACTTCTTCTCTTCCCAGCTGTGTTCTGGGTCAGGTTCTGCCTCACTGGCAGAAGCAGCTGCTATTTGTTCCTGTTTGGCAGCACTGCTGCTTTGTGCAGTGCTGCTTTGTGCAGTGCTGCTTTGTGCACTTTCCTCTTGCCTTTTTTCCAAAGGCTGAGCAGCTTTTTTTTCTTCTTTGTCCACTTCCATTGCTTTATCATTTTTTCTCTGCTTTTGCATCTTCTTTTCCATCTTTCTTGTTCTCATGTTCTTTTTCTTCTTTTGTTTCTGATGCTTCTGCCTTTTTTTCCAAAGGCTTGTCTTGCTTCCTCTGCCATTTTTCCAATGGCTGTTTGTGCTGCTGATTTGTTTCTTTTGGCCTTTTTTCCAAAGGCTTTGGGAGTTCTGCTGGCTGACCTTCAGCCAGTTCTTTTTGGTTCTCTGCCTCTTTTTGCAAGGGCTGCTGGGCTTGCCTTCTCAGCTGCCTTGCCCAGCTGGTGGTTCCTTTCCCCTTGAGTCTCCCTTTGGGGTTGTAGGGGTTCCACCATTCCTCATCCTTCTCCCATTTTTTTTGGTCCCACTTGTAAGTGGACATGCTCTTTTTTCAAGAGCTCCCAGCCTAGCCTTTCTGCCAAAGGCTACCCTTGTCCCAAGGGTTCTGACCCTTGCTTTTCTCAAGCAATGCTGGGAAAAAAAGGCGAAAAAAAAGGCGAAAAAAAAACTTGAGCTAGAAAAGGCTGCAGTAAACACATATAGTTTCCAACCAGGACCCTTGAACACATGGACATGAAACCCCATGGAAATTATATTTACACCACCATCACTTTATTTAAAACAACAATCCCCCAAAATATGTTGTTATTTATGGTAGGGTTGGCTATAACTATATTGAGGGGTTCCCTGCCCAGCCCTTTCCCAGCAGCTGCACCTTTTTTCATCTCAAAAAGTAGGTGTTCCAGGTCCATGCCTTTTTTCCGAAGGCTTGCAGCATGTTCTCTGCCAATGCCCTTTTTCCAAAGGCTGCTAAGACTTGCTGTGCTGGAAACCTTTTTCTCAAAGGCTGAACTTAAAGTAGCTTTTGCCTCTTTTCCAAAGGCTGCCCTTTTTCCAACTTCTGTGCTACATGCCTGTTTGGCAACATTGGTAGCTGCCTTTTTTCCAAAGGCTTCTATGCACCTTTATTGCAAAGGCTGCCTGGCACCTTTTTCCCAAAGGTTGCTGCCAATGTGCCTTTTTTTCAAAGACTTGTTCAACTTTTCTGGGTTTCCAGTAACTTGGCCCTCAAAGCCACAGCTTCTGGTTTGGTCATGCTCCTTGTCCCTGGCTACCTTTCTGAGATGGGCAAGCAAAACTGTCACTCTTTCAGCTTTGATGTTGCACCAAGTTGCCCCATTCCATTTTGTGCTGTTCAATGACACATCATGTGCCAATAAATTCATGAGGCTGGTCCTTAAGACCTGAGGTGCCAGTTCGCAGGTTGGAGCAACTTCTGTGATGTCCTGGAGCAAGGCTTTGCAGTCAAGCAGCCCCTTTGGGCTCACAGCCCCTGATTTGCTGACAGTTTCATAGATTCCTAGATTGGCAATCAAGGCTGAATGGTCTTTAAAAATCCTCAGGATGATGCCAGGGTCGATTGCAGGCTTGGTAAAATGCCTGGCTCCCCCTTTGGACATCTCCCTTTTCCCAAGGGATCAACTCTTTTTCCAAGAGCTGCTGGTACCCAACCTTTTTTTCCAAAGGTTTGGCTCAGCCTTTTTTGCAAAGGCTCCTGGAAAGAAACAAAACTTGCTGCCTACAGGTCTTGGGCCAAAGGGCAAACAACATGCCATGCATGAGACCATCATCCTGGAGACTGGCCATGAGCCTAACATTTTCAACACATGAACAGACCCCCAACAGACCCCAAAAAATCAATATCAAAATCAATATCAAAATCAATATTGAAATCAATATTTTCCCCAAACAAATCAATATCCAAAATATTGAAATAATCAATATTTTTTGGAAAATCAATATCAATATTTTTTTATAGGAAAATATTGATTGTAATCAATATCGGATGCTCAGGGTGAAGCTATTTGCCTTGCGCCATGGTTTGCTGATGTCGCTTGTGCTGCGCAGGCCAGCTATGCTTGCACAGATGCATCAGTGTACAAAGCCTGTTGTACAGTAGTCTTCTGTGCAGCTATAGAAGCTGCAGTGTACATAGAGCATCTTCAATGTCTAGAATGTTTTGCAAAGTGGCTATGCATGCTTGTCATGCATGTGTCTCCGTGCGACATATGCTGGAGCTATTTGCCTTGCGCAATGGTTTGCCGATGTCGCTTGTGCTGCGCAGGTCAGCTATGCTTGCACAGATGCATCAATGTACATAGCCTGTTTGAACAGTATAGTCTTATGTGCAGCTATAGAAGCTGCAGTGTACATAGCGCATCTTCAATGTAGTCTGGAATGCTTTGCAAAGTGGCTATGCATGCTTGTCATGCATGTGTCTCCGGGCGACATATGCTGAAGCAATTTGCCTTGCGCCATGGTTTGCCGATGTCGCTTGTGCTGCGCAGGTCAGCTATGCTTGCACAGATGCATCAGTGTACATAGCTTTTTTGTACAGTAGTCTTATGGGTGTACATAGTGGATTTTGTACAGCATGCAACCATGTAAGTTGCAATCCAATGGGATGCATTGTGGTCCGATGCAGACGACCATATCTCGCCATATGCGCGCAGTAGCTATGCTGTGCCTATGTCGTCTGCTGCCGCATGCAGATATAATTTGCAGCTTTCGCGATATGCGCCCAAAGAACAACGCACATAATATTGCAAACTTTGGAAAGCATGCTATCCTTAGATGTGCTGGGTGTTTGTTAAGTAGTTAGTGATGTTTGTTAACATATTGTAAATCACATCTAAGTCATATGTAACCATATCTTAACTTCTTATAAATTTGTTGAGTGTGTGAAAGGATTAGGTAAATTATGTAAACATGTTAAAGTTCCTAAGGAAAATTAAGGGAAAATTAAAGCTTTAGCTAAAGTTGTTCAAGTTTTTGCTAGAGTAGCTAAACTTGCTAAAGGTTTTTTGAAATACTAAGTATAATGCTTGACAATATGTATAGGTTGAGCCTGAAGGCTTGATGTTGGGTCTGGATGGCTGTATGCTTGCAATAGGTTGAGCCATGATGGCTGCATGTTTGTTGGTTTGCCATGGTTGAGCCTTCATGGCTGCATGTTTCTTGCACATGGAGATTGTGTGAATCTGTTTTCCTGCATGGTCCATGGTTGGGGCTTGTTTGATACTTGCTTTACATGTGTTTTTTTGCCCACAGGAAGGAAACATAACTTGGTGTCAATTTGACATTTCCAGATGTAAGCAGCACAGGGAAGACATCATAGCACCACATATATACAGCCACAATTTTGCTTTGAGTTTCACAGCCACACGCCATGGCTTTGAGTGATCCAGTGAAAGCTGAAGCTGCTGCTATCATTGGTTCCAATGAGCCAGTGAATTTGAAGATGGTGCTGCTGAACCAGCTTTGGTTGAAGCATGGCCTCGCATCCCACCAAGTTGTCCCTCCTGGCAAACTCCTGGTGCATCCAAGTAACCGCGGTGGAGCAATGCTCAATGGGCATGATGTTTTAGCAAAGGGTGAAAAATTGATGAGCCAGGGATTCAGACAGGATCTCTTGGAAAGCTCTTCAGTGGCCTTTGGCCTGTCTAGCCAGGTGGCCAAAAGGCAAGAGCAAATTGAAGCCAACAAGGTGCTGGTGGAGCAATTTCCTCAGGTTCTGGCACCTGTCCAAGGAGATGAACTGTACTTGACAGTTGGAGCTTCACACAGCACCAGTTTTTTGAAGGCAAAAGCCATGTGTGGAGTTTCCAATGAATCTTTGAAAGACATTTTGGAGAATGGCTGGAAATGGTTGATCTTGTCTGAATGCTTGGAAGAAAATTTCCCCACACTGCCCTTGCTGTACTCTGCTGCATTGAACAGCAGCAACAGTGCGCAAGTGGCTGCCACTGATTTGAAATGCTTGGCCACCATCAGTAAATATATCCAGTTGGGAAAGACCTTGGAAGCTGCTGCTGCCCAGACTGCCATGGGTGAGCCTCAATGCAAAGACTATTTGGGTGAAATAGCACATTTTGCTAAATTGTACACTGGAGGAGAGCAGATGCCCTTGGCAACCTTTCTGGTTGCTTTTAGCAAACAATTTGGAGAAAGCGCTTTGCTGGGTGAAGAGTTCATGAAGCTGTTGACTCACTATGACTTCAAGGTCAGTGGCAATTTGTTGCCATGCTTCAGAGTGGCTGTGCTTGCTGCTCAGTTGACATCCAGCAAGATTGTGGACAAGATCAGAAAGCTGTTGGTGAAGAGAGATTTTGATCGCTTGAAAACCAAATGCAAAGCTGAGCTCCAAGATGCAGAGAAATTGCTAGCAGACAGTTGGTCTTTAGTGGAAAAGGCCAAACACTTGGAAGAGCTGAAGAGGCTGCATGTTTTTGTTCGTATTGGAAAGAGTGGTGCTGTTCATTTGCAAGAAACAAAAAATGGGCAGGGAGAGCAAGACCTGGAAATCTTTGGAAGGCATCAGAGACGGATTCGCTTCTGAAATGCTTTGCCCTCCTGACATCTCCAGTCAAGACAGTGGTGATGCACCAAGTCCTGCTGCAGCAGGAAGCCAGGAAGCTTTCCAAGACTTGTTGCAACCAGATCCTGTTGCAGTGGCATTGCTGCAGAACCAACACCTGGAGATTGGCAGCAATTACCAGAACCCAAGGTGACCAGCACCATTTATCAGCTCATGGAAGTGACCCTTGCTGGAGCTAAGTTCCTTGGATATTTTTGGGGTGAAAGTTTTCTTTTTGGGGGTGGGGCTAATGTTAGTGCTTCTCCACAACTTGCACAAGCCTTTGGTCCACTGAGGTTTGAACATGTACCTCTGGTTGCGGCTGCTGATACCTTGGTGGTGCCTTTGCGAGATGAATTGAAAGATTGGAGAAAAAACAAGAAGACTATGCAAATTCTATTGGCTGCTGACATTGCGGAAAAGCAGCTGGTGTACAAGCACCCTGGTATCCAAGAAAGCATCCAATTGCATTCAACCCAAGTGCAATTGCACAAGGCTTTCATGACTGGCCCTGTAAATGCCAAAGCAATTGGCTTTGTGGCAAATCAAGTGGGAGTCTGTGCCCTGCAACATTTTACTGCTGGATCTTTGGTTCTCAAACCTTATGGATCCTTGTTCCTTGTCAAGGACCAGGACAAAGACAAGGTCAAAGTCATGGTGGGAAAATTTGGAGTGAATGCCCCCAAGATGATCTCTGAATTTGACAAGGTGGATGACAAAACTGTACTTGTACCATTTTGGTATGTGAAGCCCACCATGGATGAGGAGTTGGTCAACATGCAATTGGAAAAGAAACAATGTGGCAGCTTGGAGCTGCCTTGCTATGTGAATACCAAAGATTTGGAGCCAGGAGATTTGCTGCTGTGTGAGTCAGAGATGTTGGCCAAGAAAAGAAAAAAGAAGGAAGGAGAGTCAGGTGCCACTGCTGGATCAGCTGCCAAAAGTACCAGTGCCAAAAAAAGTCAAGAGATGATTCAGAGCGCCATGCTGGACCTTGGGGATGTTTCACAGTTTCACCAGAATTGCAAGGACAGAGGAAGATGAGAAAACAACATCAGCACAGATGAATTGGAATCTCTGTGTGTGGGAGAGCCTTTTAAGGCTGTTTGATGTTGCTTTTGTGTAATTGTCCTTTGTACATTGCCATGTGGTCATTGTATGTTGCGCTTGGAAACAATGTGGCTTCTCAAATTTGCCCCAAAGGTTTTAGCTGTTCCTCCCCTTGCCCATGGCCTTGGAAATCAAGCAGCTGACTTCCATCCAATGGAAAGGTATCAATGTGGTGATCCCTGAAGATTTGCTGCTGACCAATGTTGAAAACCAGACCTTTCTGAAGCTTCGACCTTCCCACCACAGCATCACGAAGCTGGTGTGTCCTGATTGCAAGAAAAAGAATTTGTCCTTGTCAGCAGGACCAAGGCTCATGAATTTGGTGTCCTTGGTACATGCGGAAAGCTTGGAGAAGGAGACCATGGCTGAAGGCCAAGAAGAAGAAAGACTTGGGCCTGCCAGGTGGCAAGACTTGTCCAACTATGATTTGAGTTGCCTAGGCAACATCTGAAATCATGAAGCATACATTTGCTAGCTGGCTAGGTCACATTACCAAAACAAAGAAATCTTCAAATTTTCTTTAGCATGCAAGTTGCTTAGGTAACCTTCCTTTCACAAGTTACATCATGAAAAGGTCCAGTAAGTAGCATTAGGCAAAGTTGAAAGCAAACCCTGTGTCAACTATTGAAGACTTGTTTGATTAGCCTGGGCCCAAGAAAAATAAATAAAGCAAGAGATACCAACAAGGCCTTTCCTTGACCAATGAAAAAATGAGAGAACATTGTATGCGCTGTGCCATCACAGCACCAGGCTTTTTCCATACATAGCAATATATTGTGTGTCCACACTAGTATCATTACACAGCAAGGAGTGTGCGACAATGTTCTGACATTTCCACACCTTGTTGCAACGGACTCTGATCAAGAGCCCGAGGCTAAAAGAATAAGAAGAGGTGGGCTTAAACAAAGATTGGCAGCTGAAGAAAGAGTTTCTGGCCAAACAGCTGTGATTTCCTCACACTTGGGGAGAGCTCTCTTGGAAAAGTGGGCCTTGGGGACAATGAGCCCCCAGGAAGTGCAAGAGCTGGCATCTAAAACCATTTTGGATTTCAAGGCAGCTAACACTGCTCAGGTACCTGCAGACCTTCACTTCCTGGCCTCGTTGGGGAGTGGTGGCATCCACAAGAGCTTTGATTGCAAATTGGAAAGCCTTGCTGTTCATTCTTAGGGTGCTGCCATGAGTTTTTGCCCATGCATCCAGCATTTTTTTTGTGGAAGGGTTGCCAACATTTTTCTTGTGGCCACCCAGCCAGGAACAACATGCACAAGACCTTGCTTTCTTTTGCAGACAGAGAAGTCTTGCTCCCTGAGCCTTGTCAGCCCAAGCTGACCTTCAAGGACCCTTACAAGGACCAAACGCAAATGATGCTTTTGCTTCATGAGATGTTCAGTGCAGTCTACGACAGCTATCAGGAAGCATGGCTTAGCATGATGGTTCCATCTGTTGGAAGGCTCGAAGAATTTTGGGCTTTGCAAGAAAAACACCCAGCTTTTACAGACCGCCCAGCCCTTCAAGCAAATCCTCACTTCAGGTCCAAATTGGTGCCCGTTGGCTTACATGGCGATGGCACCCCAGTGATTGGTATTGGCAAGATCTGGTCAAGGCAGCTCACAACTTGGAGTTGGAACTCCCTGTTGGGGAAAGGCACTACAAAATCAATGCAGCTGCAAATTTGGCCAATGTTTGATGAAACTGGTTCAAGCACCACCTTGAAAGAATTCTGGGCAATCCTGGCTGGTCATTCAAATGGCTGCAGCTTGGGCTATGGCTTGCAGAAGATTACAAAGGGAAAAAATACACCAGCAACTCTGCAGCAGGCAGGAGAGCAAATACATGACTGGCAGGTGGCTTTGGAGGCATTCTTTGGCCCCTGGTGGGCGACTTAGAGTATCTAACACAATGCTTGAAATTAACACACTGCAGCAGCAAGAGCTCTCCATGTGCTCTTTGCCAAAGCAAAGGTGACAATTCTGCAAATTCCTGGAGAGATTGCATGCCCAATGCCCCTTGGGTGAGCGTGCAATGGAAGCCATCAGCGTGGGAAACATGGAAGCAAAGGTCTTCTTGTGAACTCTTTGCATTGCTGCCTGGGCTCACAGCCTGTGCAACTTCCTATGACTTCATGCATTCAAAATACTTAGGAACAGATATGGTGTTTCTGGCTGCTTGCCTTTGGCTGGTGTGTTACAGGATTCTTCCACAGCAGCCATGGCAAAATCTGCAAATTTGCTGGCAAAAAAAAATGTCAGTTTACAAGGAAAAGAAGATTTCTGACAGATACAGAGGAATGCACAAGTTAAGTATCTTTGAAAAAGAAAAAGGAGGACAAAAGTGGCAGCACTGGCACAACCCATGCTTCAGCTGTGGAAAACTTTCATGGATGAAGCAGACCCTGGTCACAAAAAAATCGAGACTTGGCTGAAAATGAATGTGCGGACTGAAAGAATTTTGAAAGAAAATGCAGTTTGTTTTGCTATTTGCCCTGGGGATTACCCAAACTTTACAAAATGGAGCTTTGCAATGGCCCAGCTGCACCGCTCTTTGGGACAGCACTATGCTGAGGAGGGAGTGGCCCTCTTCAGTGACACACCAAAATTGCACAGTTGGCTCCCCACTGTTTTGAACAGTAGCTTTTGCAACCCCCGGTTGGCATGGTGCTTCAGGCAAGAAGATTATATGGCAGTGCAAAAAACACTAGCCAAATCCCCCTGCAAGGGCTTAAAAGGGCCACAGGTCACTGTCAAAATCCTTCAGAAGGTGGGGGCGGGGATGCACCTCCAGCTGAAAAGGTGGTGAGAAAGCATCAAGTTGCAAGGGTTGCTGCAGAGATAGCACCACAGGGTTGCTCTACTAAGTCACATATACTGTTGAGAAAACAAGCACCTGAGTAACATGTGAGTGGCCTAGGTGACATTCCTTTTGGTAGGATTTCATACCAGTTTGGCTAGTAACATTCCAGTGGGAAAGTAACATTCCCATAGACAAGGTCATTAAAAAAGCAAATCTTTTTTATTTTGCCTGATACGATTTTCTTCTTTTCTAGAGATTTTTTGTTTGAAACCTCAATTTTTTAAAGTGCAAACCTTTATCTTAAGGTTATTTAATCTTAATCCTAAGGTTATTTGGCCAAACAAACTTAAGGTTATTTAACATGATTCTACCTGATAGGTAGAATTTTACCTTGAAAACACTTCTACCCATCAGGCAAAATTCTGTCTTAGTTGATCTTAGAGGTAAGCTACTGTCTGAAAGATCGGAACAAACAGAGCACGAAGCTCCGCTATACTACTTTGAGGTAGCAATCCCCCGTGTTAGGGGCCCTGGGTACTAGGCTTAAGACTGAACACGAGTCTACGGAAGAGCAGCAACGGGTCTTTTGTCTGGAGCTATGCTACCAAGTTTTGAGCCACGGAATGGCGCAGTTGATGGAATGAACTATGTGATCAACAACATAACAGGGAACTCGATATAAAGAGGATCACAGGGGAGAAGGGGTACCATGTCCATGGGTGGGGGGGAGGAAGGGGGCCCGGAACCTGGAACATATATCGTTACGTGTGTGTGCATTAAATATATTTACACGTATGTACGTACGTACGCACGCACGTACGGATGGATGGATGGATGGATGTATTAAACTATAGAAGAAACCTGATTCAAGAATGTATGTAGCCTGCCCCTGCCAAGATACAAAATCCGAGCAGTTCAAAAACCTTGTTTTTTAAGGGATTTCGTGGCATGGAACGGATTTTCATTCTTGGCGTGCATGTGTTGTGTGTGTGTGTGCATGACTGTGCTGTGTTTGCCTTCTTTTCTTCGTATCAGGTTCAACAGCCACACGGAATGATCGGTGTTGGACGACGTCTGTTGCATGTTGTGCACAGCGTGGCACAAACTCTCCACGGTTTTAGGGTTTGAGTAAAACTGTCAACCGCACACAACCTAGAACCAGATGTTGGTTGCTCGATGGGGACGTGCCGATTAAGGTTCGTCAGAATTTCTGCAATTTGTTTGAAATCTTCGAGTTGTTGATATTGAAAATGCATACTGATGTTTGTGAAACCAAGGTTTTGCAGGCTAAGGATGAGAACATAATTTGTAAACCCATGTTTGTATGTCATGACAACGGACAGCAAAGACACGGTTCTCCATGGGCCAGACAGTTTTACAATACATATTTTTCACAAATCAAAAAGCAAAGATTGATGCGGCAGGACCATGCAAGCATTTTGTTGAATTTGTCGTTTCCAATTTGCGGGCACCATGGCTATGCATCGCCTGTATGCTTGCATCGGCTTGGCGGCTGTCAGTTTTCTGGTAATGTTTAACATGTCAAGGACGACAATGGTGGAATCAGTTCAAGTGGCCCGGCAGGTAGAGCAAAATCAAGCGATCCAAGTGGCGCCTGAGCACGAGCCCGAAAAGTATTTAACACTTTGGCTCCATGACGTTCACCGTTGGTTTCGGGACAAAGGCGAAGGCAAAGAGAAGGTGCGTACATTTATTCAAGATGCGAAACTGACTGGGTTCAACGCCATCATGACAAATTTGCCGTGGGCTTGGACGGAACGAGAGAAACAAAATGACATTCGCCTTGACACTTTTGACAAAGACTTTATGGATATAGTGTGCGAGGAGAATTTGAAGTTGCATGTACTTATCTCGCTGCATGAATTTCCGCCGTGGGTTTCTGCTGAGCGTATTGCACTTCAGAACTATTCAGAAGAGGGTTCGGCTCACCCATCTTGCTCAAAAGTTCCTTGTCCTCCGTCTCCTTCACTTGCGCACCCAGAAGTTTGGCAGTTGATAACAACATTTTTCAGCGAAACCGTTTGGAAACTCACCACCAAATACGGAGATTGCATTCAAACAATTTCGCCTACCGCAAGCAATGAGTTCGAGAGCCGCTACACGCAGATGTTTGACAGGATGCGAGACTATTCGTTTCACATGGTGGAGGCGTACCAGCAATGGCAGGAACGCCAAGGCCTTATACCCATCGATCCATTTCAGTATCCATGCCATGCCGTTTGCAGACCGATTTTTGACCAATCAGAGTCTTTGCATCGTTGGCTGGAGTTCCGGGAAGAGTTCTTGGCAAAAAGATATGAAGCACTTTGTTTCCTTGTGCACACGGATTGTAATCTTGGGAAAAGCCAAACCCAGAGACCAGCTTGTTTGCTGCATTTTGGCGAGTTTTTTGCAACCACGGAAGTGCTGAATAGCAATCTGTTTTTTTATTTGGCACGATCTCCAGTGGTAGACCACATTGTCATGGATTCGAACATGGCGCTCCTTGGGGCGCCCTCGTCACCGAGCATTGTGGGGGTCATGGTGTCAACCGCAAGGGCCTACAAGAAGATCGTGCACTACGAAGCAGCCACGGAAAGAGTCTTTCCATGTACTCACGATGGGAAGTTGCAGCAAGTGCAAAATAGTTCCATTCTACGGGCTGGCGCGCGTTTATTGCAAGAAGGCTTAAAGAGTGCACTTGATGCTGGTGTCGATTGCCTTGGAATCACAAACTTGTGTGCTCCAAAAGAAGCCTTGGGCATGGTGCCACCGACAAACAGGACGGGCCAGCTCTGATGCACTTCGCCTAGCGATCAATGCTTGAGATTTGCTTTCCTATTTGCTTGTTTACTGACTGACATACACCTGAGAACATTTTCATCATTTGGGAAACTGCAGAAACGCAAAATCCAAATGGTAAGTTCTAAGTGTCGGGAAAGCCACTTAGAATTTAGAACGCCCTGGAAACAGATTGCACTTAGAACATAATGTGCGCACATGCACTTCGAACATCACTTGTGCATATGATGATGTTCAAAGTGTATGTCCGTTCCATTAAAAGTAGTGAAAATGCAATAGTGCTCCACTACCTGAAATGCAAGTGAGCGTAGGGGGGAGGGGTTCAAACCAGTGGTTTAAGCTTTGATGTGCATAGAACATAATCTGTGGGACAAACCATGTTTTCAGTGATGACTCCAGCGTCAAAAGCAACATCAAAAGCACCCCCTCCACAATCTCAGCTTTTAAAATGTAGAGCTCATTTGGCTGAAGAACCTGTTATGTTCCCAGTTTGTAGGATGCCCAAGGGTAGGTGGTACAATTGCCCAGAACGTCCCAAAATATAGTTTGAAAATATAATTTGAAAGATTTAGGCGCGATTCAACACCATATCTTGAGATATCTTGAGGGCGCATGCAGTGAGTCCATGTCGCTGAAAAAATTGAAGGTTCAGGTGTTGAAGGAGTAGCCCATTCGTAGTCGCGATGTTCCATCCCTATAAAGAACTTCTGTTGGTCCCCAGTTCGCAGCCAAGCTTCACTTCTCTTTGAAAGCTCAAAATGAACTTGCACCCCATGTTTGGCCGCAAAATTCGCAACTTCAATCCCTCCTTTCATTTTGAAGCCTTGCGTTGTTTCTCCTCCTCAAGTCTTTCCTTCTGTTCAGGGGTTCTTTGATTGATTCTTTGTGATGGGCTAAGGGTCCGCATTCACAAGAAACCCAGCGGGTGTCTCCAGCACCGAATTCATGCTCGTGCTGGGTCCCTGAGACTTCGGAGACGAAAGCATCAGGTAGGGTGCCATCTCACGGAAAGAGGAGGTGCAATCAAGGAAGCTGCACAGCACCAAGGGAGCGCGCAAATGTGAGGTTCAGTGCGCAACACGTCATGCCATTGACATTAGGTTTCACTTGGATATGTGAGGCGCTTTTGGCTTGAAAGGAATTTCTGCATTGTCCATAGCCCGCCCTGCTTTTTCTCCGGAAGGTTGCCCGTCTGGCTCTGCGGAAATGTTGCCGTCTCGCGATTCTTGACCATCATTCTTGTGCGTCACAAAGTGCTCCTGTGTCATTGACCAGCCCACCAAGGTAACTGGGA